CCCGCTTCCTCCAGGCCCGCCAGGCCGCCTGCACCATCCAGTCCCACTGGCGCTGGCACGCCAGCCAGACCCGGGGCCTGCTCCAGGGCTGCTATGAGGTCAAAGCCAGCCACCTGGAGCTGGACATCGAAATCCTCATGGCCTAGGGCGCCCGCCGGCAGAGCCAGGGGGCTGGATCTCTCTTCCAATAAAGATGCTTACTGCCCGGCCGGAGGCTCCGTGGTTGAGCGTCGACCTATGAACCAGGAGGTCACGGTTCGGATCCCGGTCAAGGGCACATGCCCGGGTGGCGGGCTCCCCAGTAGGGGGCCTGCAGGAAGCAGCTGATCCATGATTCTCTCTCCTCATTGATGTTCCTCTCTCTCTCCCTCTCCCTTCCTCTCTGAAATCAATTAAAAAACAATTATTTTAAAAAGAGATGCTTCCTGACCACAGTCTCGCCCTTTGGGAATTAGACCCATGAAAGAGGGATTGGCCACTGACCTTCCTACTTCCACTCAAAAAGGCTCTCCAGGCCCTGGCTCCTCATGCAAACCTGAGCAATCAAGTGCCTGAAAGAGACCCCAGGGCCCAGGTCAGGCCCGGACCCCTCGCCGGTCCGACCCGGCCCCTGGCCCCCGCCTGGGAGGCACCAGCTTTGCTCCTCTGCAGCCCCTGCCCAGGCATCGCCTCTCAGGGAAGGACACTGAGTCTGGCCAAAGCCAAGCAGCCAAGAGGCCTGGATCCTGCAGGCCTGTGTTTGGTAGGGCACGGGGTGGGGTCGGGGGGTAGGGGTGGAGGAGTCCCCCCTCGCCCTGCACAGCACCTGGCCCAGAGCCAGGAGGACGGGGCACCCCAGCTGGGTAACAGCAGGACAGGCGCTGCGCCTCGCTGGGGGGCAGCCAGCCAGAGCTGCCCTGCGGAGGGCCAGGACAGGGGCTGGGGGCAGCAGCTGTGCCTGCCACTCACCTCCCCCTCCCCCTCCTCGCTGCTGGCCCAGCCCGGAGAACCAGGCATGGAGGGCGAAGGGGGGCAACTAGCAGAGGAGAACTAGGGTGGGATCAGGGGGAAGGTCATTCGTTTTGGGGTGCAGCCTCCTAATGCTGCCACCTCCTTCGAGGCAGCTGTGCTGACCCCCCGGCCCCAGCCTCTCATCCAGATTGCTTCTGTCCCCTAACGGTCCCCAGAGGCCACACCCCCTGCGGGTCTGCGAGGTGGTGCTGGTGGCCTCAGCTCCACTGGGCCTCCTATTGCCTCTCGGCATCCGTGGCTCAGCCATCTCTGTATCTGATCTCTCAGTCTCTGCTTCGTCGTCCTCGCCCAAGGTCCCTCGCTCTCAGCCTGTGTCCCTTGGAGGTTCACCCCTGAACCTGCATCCCAGAGGTCCAGGGCCCTCCCCAGGGCTTCGAGATGGATGGCCTTTCAAGGGAGCGGGATGAGTGGGGCGGTGCACATGCCAGAGGTCCTCACGGGCCTCCCGGCCAGCCAGGCTTTCCCTCCTGGGGCTTGTGTGTGTGTGTGTGTGTGTGTGTGTGTGTGTGTATGCATGCACATGTGCACGCAGGTGCAGTGCATGTATGTGCACATATATTTGGTGCACATAGACTTGTGTGCATGTGTGTGTGTTTGGGGTTCAGGGGAGGGTGTCTCCAGAACAGGTGTGGCAGGTTCAGGCTCCAATGCCCATCCCCTCAGGCAGCTGCCGTGGCAGTGATGCGGCTGGGCACCTCGCTCTTCCAGGGGCCCCCCTTCAGGAGCTTCGGACACAGCTCCCTGCTCCCTCTCTCGCAGCAGCGAGTGCAGGCACCCAGTGAGGTCTGCATGCTGAGCTGACCATGAGGGGGATTCTGCAGGGCCTGCCCGGTGAGGTTTGCTGTCTGACTCTCAGCCTACAGTGGACATGGGCCTCCCAGGGGACGCAGAGAGGGCCTGTCCTGGGCCCGGCTAGAGATTCTGCTTCCTTTGGGCTGGGAGAGGCCAAAGTCACAGTCGGGAACCACTGAGCGAAGGCTGTCCCAGCCCAGGCTCTGCACCGGCCTCGGCCCCTGTGGTTCTACCTGGTGATGAGGGTGCTGACCTGGGCCAACGGATGGCACTCTGCCTGAATGCGGGGCCTTGTTGTGCGTCTCTTTTTCACTTAGGCGCAGAGCCAGCCACACAGGAAGCTTAGACTCAGGGATGGGGAACGGGAGGAAGGGGATCGGGGTGACCTGCGGGTACATTAGCCGGAGAAGGAACATTAAACCACGAAGCAGATTGTTGTCACACCCAGAACCTGAGCGACCACACCGGACAGTGTCCGCCTGAGTAACTCATGTCCTCAGCGCCTCAGCAGGGGATGGCCGCAGGGACAGGGTGGCTGATGGAAACACTCGCGCTGAAGGCCGCCAGAGGGAGCTGCAGACTCTGAGACTCGGCCGCGGGGACGACAGAGGCTGTCCTGGCCTCACGTGTATTTATTTCTCGTGGAGAAAGGATCCAGGACGGGGCGCCCAGGCCCCTCCGGGACCCAGGGCACGCGGTCCCTGAGGGAGGCGCGCTCACCTGCGGGCGGCCCGCCCCGCGCAGGGCAGCCGCCTGGCACCTGTGCCGTGTGCCCGGCTCCCCTGGTCGGCCCGGTGCATCATGACGCGTTAGGGGTCACCAGGCCCCAGGCCCAGGGCCCCCTCAGCCTCCTTCTGCTCCCTAGCGGCGAGAAGGGTGCCGCTGAGTCCCAGCGGGAAGGAGTGGTGACGTCTGAGGTCAGGCTGGCTGCTTTCTGACAGGCAGGGCTCCCTGGGGCGGGGCTGTACCGCCCGCGGGAGGAGACCCACGTGGCGTTCAGGAATGGCTTCAGCTTCACGTCAGATTCATCTTCAGTTTAGAACCGAGTAAAATTAAACCGTCCTCACCAAAAAGGAAAACAGACATATGGCCTGATCCCACTTTAATGACAGGGTTTCTCTCTGTGAAAACGCAGGGATCTGTCTAGGCGGCTGCTACGCCCGAAATGTCACCGGCGGTTATATTTGAAGGAGGAGGCTTGAGGCAATATTTTTATTTCCTTGTGGTACGCTGCGCTGCTGCAGAGCTTCAGTGTGGGGTGTGCAAGAGGCAGCCAAGCAATGATTCTCTCTCATCATTGATGTTCCTCTCTCTCTCTCTCTCTCTCTCTCTCCCTTCCTCTCTGAAATCAATAAAAGTATATATTAAAAAAAAAATTAGCAAGTACAAACACCACCCGCCCAGTTAAAGTTGAATGTCAGGTAAACAACAAAAAGTTTGTCTGCGTATGTCGCACACATGCACGGGGACGCACTTCCACTAGAGAAGCAGCCGTTGTTGGTGTGACGTTCGGACATAACTGGGCGTCCTGAGGGGGGGTTTTCCAGTCTTGTTTTCATTGTTTAAACGCCAAACTTCCCCAGCCTGGCCGGCCTCTGACACGATGAACCTGCTTAAAAATGACGCTGTCTCTGGCCTGCACATCTCCCGATGCAGGACCGGATACCGCAGTCCGGGGGATCCAGGGAGCTGCCGCTTCTCTGCTGTTGGGGTTCGGGTTCGGTGCCCACTGCCCCTCGGCCACAGGGGGCAGCGGTCCCCTGGCTGAGCCCACCCCCACCCCCAGCGGGCGCGGAGCCTGTGCCTCTGTGCTTTTTTTTAGGCCCAGGGCACGGGGCTCCAGGACCCGCCAGCCTCTCCTCCCACCTCTCCCCTGCCCACAGCAGGTGGCTCTCCCACTGCCCAGCCTCTGCCCTCACCGCTCATCTCCTCCCACCTCGCGAGCTCGTTCTGACTTGGTTCGCACCAGGGGAACCCACCCCTCCTCCCTGTTTCCTTCCTCACACCAAACGCTCAGACTGGCTACAAGCGGCAGGCAGGCCCACTGTGGCCGAGCCCACAGTTCCCGGGGCACAGCCAGCGCCCTCCTGCCCCATCGCCCTCGCCATCCAGGTCCCCGACTGGAGTGCCCTGAGCGTGTGCCCATGTGAACCTGCTGCTAAGCCCTGCATTGCCTTGGCCAGTCTGCAGTGGCTCCTTTTTTAAAAACATATTTTTAGTGATTTCTGAGAGGAAGGAAGAGGGAGAGAGATAGAAACATCAATGATGAGAGAGAATCATGGATCAGCTGCCTCCTGCACACCCACTACTGGGGATCAAGCCCGCAACCTGGGCTTGTGTCCTTGACCGGAATCGAACCGGGGACCTTCCAGTCTGCAGACTGATGCTCTATCCCCTGAGCAAACCAGCTGGGGCTGCGGTGGC